CTTTTTTAATGGAAAAATTTAATATAATAAAAACAAAGTTTAGTTACAATATAATTTTCAGTTTTACAATATAATTACAAATTTTTAAGTTTCAAAGCATTAGATTTATAAAATTTTAATGACATTATGTTCACATGTCATAAGAATACATAAACACTTTAACACAATATTTTAAGTACAAGATGTACAAAGTATAATATCTTAAATAAAACATTACTACGTACAAGATCTTGCTTTTTTATTTCTTTTAGTGCTCTCTTCATTATATTCTTAAAATTTTAGAGGTGCTGAAAAAGATATACTATTGTATGTATACATGTATGCTTATAAGTTTTTATTTCATTGTACTGAACAACATGATAACCTTTGAAGAAACTATAAACCATAGTATTAAAAAAACATGTAAACAGTTACACATGTAAAATTGTTAAGGGTATATAACTCGATGGAAAACTTATTAGATCAAAAGGATCAAGTGTATAGCTTGCAGTAAATACTTTTTAACGTCATCATAAATTATCAATATTTACTATAATATAATAAACAACAATGCTGATAAAACATTTATATAAAATATAATGAATGTTTGTTATATATAAGGAAAAACATTAATATATTATATTATATTAATAAAAAGAAGAATAAATAATGTTTTAAAAACGTAATAAAAATGAAAAAAAAAAAGTTATGAGTCGAGTCATATTGACCAAGCTGTCAATGCGGTCCCACTCCCGGGCGCGATCCCACTACTGCCCGCCACGGAGACTTTTGGCTGCTGGGTTTCCCCTCTGGCCCGGTTCGCCTCTCCTTAGGCAACCTGGCTATCCCGGACTCCTCCAGGATGCCCATATTGATGGCGAGCTTAGTGCGGACGCCCAGTCAACGTGAGTCCCGCACCAACAGGAACTCCCCGACCTCAGACCCTCCGTCATAACCAGCCTCCGACTAGCCGGATTACAGGAGCCGCCACACTCCCAGCTGAAAGATTTTGTTGCTATTCGTCTATATTAATTACACCCTTGACATATTTTAAAGGAAGATATCGTTACTAAATTTTGTTACATTAGAAAATACAAAAAACACGAAATATATGATAGTTTACCTGGATTCAATCTTATTGCAATTTTATAAAATAGAGTCCTGAAGGCACAAATATGTATGGCGTATATCATGCATACACTTGTATGCAGTATGTGTGTTAGAGATTCGCGTGGTATTAATCATGTACCGGTAAAGAAGAGTAGCATGCAATAACATAACTGCTAAAGATAACTAAAATAACTAAGGCGAGACACAAAATAAATCTAACATTACAGACAAAGTATAGATAGACTGACATCCTATGCAAATTCATATTATACATGTGGTCCGTGGCTGCATATTTAGCCACTGTTACCATTCTCGTGTCACATACGACGTTATCGATTGAGAATGAAATAAGATTACAACGCTACAACGGTGGTAGGAATTGTAATTAAAAGCGTAATAGTTAATTGATTTTTAAATCAAGATCAATCTGTAGGCATAAACGAATTTATATCTCATCTGTGCTATAGAATTCAGACTTCGTGAGAAAACAATGACAGTTTACGCGGGAAGCACGAGAGATAGTTAGGGAACATTAAATATACATTCTCTGAGATAGCAAAGATCTTATAAAAATGCTTATAAAAATAATACTGGAACTAAGGTCAAGGAAGGATATGTATAGCTTGTGCCCAGCAGTAAGAAGAATATTAAAATTTATTTTTGTCAATTTTGGAGTATGTTGCTAAAGGCCATTTTTATTAAGGTAAATGATAGGTCTATTCAATATCTTGTCAGTGATGAAATCAAGCACTGAAGAACGCAAATCTTAAGCCGCTGTGCATGCTCTATCGGCTAGAGACATGTAGTCGTTAATAGCCAGTTACACGATGCAGGAGATTTTCTGTTAGGAATCTTACAAAGCCAGTCTTTTGTAGAATTGCTAGCCTCATCGAGGTTGGTGGGTCGGTCGAATATAACTCCTAAAACCACCACGTTAATTTGTAGAGGACGCAAGAAAACCAGTGATTTTTCTAGGTCGGTACATGTGACACGAAATCAGTATTATTGCATTATGATAATTGATTCTGATATGAATCGTAAGTGCAGGATGAAGTTTTTAAAATATCGTTTGTATGGCAATAAACATATAAAAAAGCTAAAAATATTAAAAAGTAATATATTTATAGAATAGGAGAATTTTAAAACTCTGAAAATTTAGAAGTTCCTGATTCTATGTACGTGTATTTTTATTTCTTCATACATGGTGTCATATTACATACATGTATCGATATACACGTACCATACAAATTCTTTATTAAAATAAGTAGAATTATACGGTGCATCATAACTCATGTGAAACGAGTTGAGGTACAGAGAAGAAAAGCTCAACGGTTACGAGAAGTAAAACTGGATCTTCTTGCCGTTGAACCACTTTTAACGATTCGAATAATAGACGAGGGAAAAAGAAAAACAGGTTGGTAGGGTTATGTATTCGTATTATTAGCCGTTAGAAATGGACGTATCTATCTTATGCAAATTTTGTATCACATAGCCGCGATAACATTTGGTGAATATTAATTTCGGATATTTTCTAAATACTACAATCTTTTCTATATTATAAAGATTAGAAAAAATAATCTTTAATCGTTTCATGGAATTGTTTTTAAAAAGCTTCAAGTTCTGCGTTAATTAGCAAAGCATATTACTAATTGATCGGAGACATGTGTTATTACCCATTGCATAATTTATAATAAATAATATTTCTAAGACATTTTTTCCCTTAATATTTCTAAATACATTTAATGCTTAATTTTTAAATCTCATTTGGTCTTCATAACCTAGTATTTTTCAAAGTATTAAGTTTCATGTATAAATTTACATGTATTATGTTTCAATGCATAAGGTAAAGTTAAACATAACTTCTGTAATGAATTTAAACGTATCTTAATTTCATCGAATATTTCTTACAGTATTCCTATCCTATGTATATTCTCTAGTATTAATGAAGGAATTGTAATTTAAGATGTTTTATGTACTTGTCATACGTAATCAGTCTTCTTTAATGTAATATTCAGGATGATATGTAGGAAATACTTTTTAATAGCTCGACGAAAAAGAACATTACAATAGTAATACTTTGACAAGATCAACATATTGAAATTCTAGCCAAGTGTATAAAAGTATAAATATCGCGATCATCACGTAGACATCATGATCTAAATCTCTTCATAAATATCAGGTCATCCCATAAGTTCGTGCTGAATTTTATACCGAAATTTACCTCAATGTTTCAAACATACCTTAAAATTTATGAAAAAGAAACAGAAAACATAACCTAATCGCCTTCTCGTTCCACAATTTCTTCCTACATTTTTTATACAACCATTATGGCGTCGTTAATAAAACTTCTTCAGTTTTTTATGAAAATATTTTTCACTTTCTACACGATCATATTGGATAACTTAATAAGATCTTCTTTAAAATAAATTCTTCATGTTACATCGTAAGATTGATCGCATCAAAGTTGAACTAAATCAGAACAATTTCACCTTTTTTTTTTTTCAACACTAGAACTACCAAACCCGTCAAAATAACGGATTTCAGATTTCATACTTTAAATTACAGAAATTATCAAGATGCTTTTTTTTTTCAAGTAGGTATCTAGCGACTTTTGTTGAAATATAGAAATAATCTTTAAACATTCTAATTCTTTGAACATTGAACAAAAATTTATCACGCTCAACGCCGGTTTGTTCTGGCGTCAACGAAATCGTCTTTCTAGTACATCAAAGATATCTCGAACTTTCCCCCCGATGTGCCAGTTGAATTCTCACGAATCGAGAGACCTGCACCCTTCTTCGTTCTGAATGAAAGAAACGACCGTTACCATCTTTCCCCTCTTCTCAATCATCATCCCTCTGGCCGCTGCGTGTCAGAATAGCGAGCATCCCCTTTGCCAACCCGGAAACAGGTAAGAATCTCCGTTTGCGCGACCTTCGAACCCGTGGGATCGAAGAAGGAGGGTGCATTGTGCTGAGAAATTTTCTCACGGGGCATCTTGTAAC